CTCTGTTTAACGGCAGTCGGAAATCAAAGAGGGTGTTTTATGAAGCTACGCGGAAAGCACGGAAATTCCGCGACAATTACATTGCACGCGGTGGCCGTACGGAACTACCGGCAACAAACACCTTTGAAAAGCCTCGATGCCACGGTCGCAGCACCGTACAACAACATAAAGCTCGCCGATCCCCACTTCCACATCGCAGCTCCCGTCCGCTTAGTGCTAGGTGCCGAAGTTTTCCCGAAGATGTTGTTAGGCGCAATTCCAGCGGGAACTCTCGGTCCGCTACTAGCGCAAAACACCATTTTCGGATGGGTATTGTCAGGCGCATGTTAAAACCGCATTTCTTTGTTTTTATTTTCAATACTATTTATTTTCCTAGTTAAGTTTATTTTTGTTAATAATGAATTACACATAACCACTGAATTGTTTTCTTATCTTTATTGAATTAAAGTGCAGATGAATTTTTGAAACCCACGTCTTTAAATAATACTTTCTTCTACCTTACCGAATTTAGGTACACGGACAACGGCAACGAAGAACACTGTTCGAAAATCCTGTTCGGAATAAATTTGTACTTTAGTTTCGCGAATATTTCCCTTAGATAGTGGGATAATATGAAACTTATTACTACCGATTAGCTGTGTGAATTTTTTTACAAGAGCGCTTGGATTCTCTTCTCTTATAAAAATGGGCGGAGGTTTGGCATTAGTAGCTTTTGCAGCACCTTCAGAAATTTGGCTATTCACATCATCGGCATTGTCACTTAGCAGTGCAAATCTATTCGTACTGACTTGCTGAGTTGAGGTAAGGCGGTTTATTTTTGTCTTACTGCCCGTTGAATTTTGCGGACTAAGTTTTCTTTTTATTGTAACATAGCGGTCCATTCCAGTCTGTATGGCCGCATTTTTAGTTGTTTCGTTTTTCAACCTTTCTTGCGCTTTACCTTTGTTGCCAGCGCTTGCACTCAAGTTAATTTGTGCTTGTGCAGCAAGAATAGGCCGGGCTGTTGACACCGCTGTGCAGTCGGCAGGTACCGGTGTGTTTGTTGTTGTTGTTGCCGCTATATTTGGGGATATGTTATCGCTTACCGAATTTGAATTTGAAATGTGATATGGCACAGGTGAAGCGCACTCTTCACTCCAAGACATCGGAGTCGTCAATGGTAAGTTTGGAGGACAAGTCCGCTGACCTGAATCTTGAGGGGGTTTGAGGGTGGTCGATGGATTGGGCTTTGCGCTTTCGCTGTCACTCTGGGACCGAATAGAGAAATATGCGTTGTTGCGTTGAACTGAAAGCCGGCGCTCATTTTGCTCGCGTTGCTTTTGAGCTCGGATTTCAGCTTGACTCATCGCTTTCTGTTTTCATTTGGTTTGTTTGTTTATTTTTTATTTTTATTTTTATTTTTTTTTTTGTTTTATTAAATTAGCACAATATTTAATGACTACGGAGCGAACTTAAAAACACGTCCGCACTCTTCGACTGTTGAAATACTATTATATTAAAATTAATTTTGTTTTAGATTCTAATTAAAATATTTGCAATTTAGGAGAAACCTTGAAGATTTTTTTTAATTTTTGTACAAAGTTTGATCCAAAACCTGAGATCTACCACATTTTTTTGAAATCTGCCACTTTTTTTTAGATTCTACCACACAAATTTTTTGTAAGTCCGATCACTGATTCCTTTGCCATTTCTTAAGATAAATTATCAATTTAAACATTGCTGTAAGCAGCGAAATGTCTCATCTTGAATCACATACATAATTACGTATTTTTCACCGGGTAAACAGAAATAAAATTACGTGCAAGTATACCTGTGCGTCACCCTTTGAAAAACGCGGTTTTTGACCTTAAGCCCAGATTTTGAGGGTGTATTTAAAATTCTGAGTATGCAGATTTTA